CAGACCCTGACGGCCTCCAGGCACTGGCACATCACTTCTACCGCTTCACTGAGTTGGCACGGGGCGGACAGATACAATTGTGTGAAAAATGGTCATACGTCGCCTTTTTCAGTGCCGTTGTAACTTCAAATTGTCACTAAATGAATGGTTGTAAATAGAGGACTACTTGTACTCAGAAACCTAACAAGGAACATTTGAAGGAGAGGGTTAGGGTTAGGGTTTTTCTTTCCCAACCAGTAATAGCTCCATTCTTGAAGTAATCCTCACAGCCATCACAGGGATTAGTGGGAAGCCTTTCTGATTTTGATGGACCTAGATTTCACGTACCAGTAGATAATAGTGAAAGGCTTAAAGTCAACTGGATCAGTGGTGGGAAACTCAAGACCCGCGGGCCACATCTGGCATGCTAGATCTTAGATCTGGCCCAAGGGGCTGCCCTGGAAACACAATGGAGCAGCCTGCAATGTCTCTGCCAGCAAAAAATGGAGCCCCGGAGTGCTGCACATGGCCCTCCTGAGTTCCATTTTCACTGGCAGAGTGCTTGGGCCACCATAGGTGTCCCCAACACGAGTGACGTCGAGCTGGCCATATCCATCCTGGCCACGGCCACACAGCCCTCTCAATGTCAAACACAACCATGATGCGGCCCTCAATGAAATCAAGTTTGACACCCCTGATCTCCCCTGATGGGGAGTTTGGTCATGTATATTTTGCAATATAGAACTTGGCATCACTTTGGCATGCACTCTCTTAGTAAGACGTATTTCATTAGGTTAACTTAGTCCATTGTTTTACATCTTGCACAGATTGTACGTTTATAAAAATTTCCCCTGTTTCAGTCTCTTCCTCTTCTTGTGTGTCCTGATTATGTAATTCTCTCTTGTTAGGGGGAAGATGGGTTGCCAATTCAAGGATGCTGGAATAAGGTAAAAAAATCCTCAAAGTGTGGCATGTTATGATAATGGTTTTATTGCATGTTGTGAATATAATAACAAATTATAAAGTATGAAAGTTGTATGGTAACATATTACCTTTCTATTTAATACAATAGGTATATGACATTAGATATTACATGTCGATTAGGGCAAAATGATAAAAAAATGTTTTCACTTGAGATGCTACTAAACCTTTCAAAGAAAATTCATTAGTGGAGGATTTCTCTTCTAAGGCTGGTAGCAGTTCAGAATTCAGAAGAGAAAATTTGTGTGTCTCTAACCCACAAAAGAGGGACATGGTGGCTCAGTGGCTAAGAGGCTAAGCTTGTTGATCAGAAATGGCTGGCAGTTCGGCAGTTTGAATCCCTGGCGCCATGTAATGGAGTGAGCTTCTGTTACTTGTCCCAGCTTCTGCCAACCTAGCAGTTTGAAAGCATGTAAAAATGCAAGTAGAAAAATAGGGACCACCTTTGGTGGGAAGGTAACAATGTTCTGTGCACCTTTGGTGTTTAGTCATGCTGGCCACATGACCACAGAGATGTCTTCGGACAGTGCTGGCTCTTCGGCTTTGAAACACATATCTGCGAGGGGAATCTTTACCTTACATAATTTTGCTATGATGCATCACTGAGGTAAGGCTTATATGTTGTAATTT